GTGGCCCGGCCAGGGGCATGGGATCCTCTGGTGGACCAGGCCTGGGTCTCTGAACCTCTGCTAGGAGCCAGGAGCCGGGGAGGGAGGCTCTTCAAGGAATAAGGTCAGAGTAGAAGGTGCTGGGAAGAAATGATGTCCGCCCTCCCTACCCTCCTTGGCACGGTCCCTCCACCAGCCTGGCCACACCGGAGCCCCTCTCCCCAGAAGACAGCCACCTCCTCCTGGGGAGACTTCAGGATGGAAGTGCTCTCTTTAAAGCAACATTACTTACCTAATTAAGCGCTTAGGAGCTGGCAGGAGGTAGTGGGGAGGTTTTGTTGATTTCTTTTTTAGACTTAGCACTGAAGTTGCGTGATAAAGTAACTGTGTAATTAGGAATTAATTTCTCACTCCCGTAAGCGATGTCTTATTTGGGGCCTGAGGGGAGTCAGCCCACAGGGCGGCCCTTCCTTACCTTCTCTTTTTGGAATGTGGGCAGGAAGTCCCAGCTGTCTTGGCTGTCACTGGGGTGGAAAGAGGAGAAGGGGAGGGAGATAGCTTCTACCATCCCAGGTGGCCTCAGCAAAAATTGAGACACGGTGCTCATGCCTGACTCGGCACCTAGGGTGAGCAGAGACTCGGGGGAGATGGACTGAGGCCAGATTACGGAGGGCCTTGAAGGTCTCTTTGTTCTGAAGGCAATGGGGAGTCACTGAGGGTTTTAAGTGGGAGTGACACAGCTAGATCTGAGTTTAGGAGATTTCTGCTGACTGAGGAAGGGACGTAGGGGAGGAAGCAGGGGGCAGGAGGGCAATTGGGAGGCTTCTGCCACTGTCGGGACAGAGGGCTGGTGATCCGGGCTAAGACAGGGAGGGTGGAACTGTCAGCAAGCTGTCCCAGGTTGGGCCGATTGGTGCATGGAGTCATTGTCAAGACAGCGAGGTTCCCAGAACAGAGACTTAAACCCACAGTTCCTCCCTCCCAAATAAGTGCTCTTCCCTCTTCCCTCCTCTCTCCCCATCCTTGTCTGGTGTCCTCCTTTCTAACCTCTTCTGCTCAGAGAAGAATGAGAACTACTCAATTCTTCACTGTGCGCCTATGTTTCTTCTTCAGTGAATGCATTTGTACGCTATCTTATTCCCCCAGACAGGAGATGCAACCACCGCAGAATACCCCCAAATGGTTCATGAAGTGGAGAAGTAAGAGTGAGGACCCAGTAGAAATGTTTAAGGAAATGGATTCCCTGGAAGGATCTACAGTGTCAAGATCTTTCATGCTGCTAAGAACTCAGTAACATCATATTTCCTTTTTTGACTTGGTTGCCAGGAAGCTCAGAGCTAAGATCTTGACACCAGATTCTACAGGAACGTTTTCTTGGGGGAACTTTTCACTGGGGTGTGAGGGCTGTACCTGGTGGGTTCTCAGGGGGAATTTGGGGAATGTTTGCCGCAGACGTAGAATGAAGGTGTGTTCCTGTGCTGAAGACCCACAGGGTCAGGTACAGGGTGAGGGAAAGGGGCTGGGCCAGTGTGTTGCTCCGGGTCTGCCCTATTTGGACCAGCTCAGAGTGTCTGGGAGCTTCAGATGCACTGCCAGGCAGTGGCTGCTTCCGTTCCCCTCCAAGATTGGGGCGGATGGCGGGGAGGTTGCCCAAGTCTGTAGCCAAGAGCACATGTGTCTGATCAGCCTCCTGTCGCAAAGCTGGGGTCTGGGAGGTGTTCAGACCCTAAAGTTACTAACTGGGTCATTGTGGGCCCCCCTGTGACATCCAGTCACAACTCATATCTCATTGAAGACCCCGGGGTCAGTCTCTTCCTGCTACCCCTTGTTGTAGAGAAACACAAAATGCAAGAAAACACTCTTTGTCGGCTGGGCACGGTGGCTCACGCCTGTAATCCCAGCACTTTGGGAGGCCAAAGCGGGTGGATCACCTGAGATTGGGAGTTCAAGACCAGCCTGACCAACATGGAGAAACTCCATCTCTACTAAAAATACATAATTAGCTGGGCATGGTGGTGCGTGCCTGTAATCCCAGCTACTCAGGAGGCTGAAGCAGGAGAATCGCTTGAACCTGGGAGGCGGAGGTTGTGGTGAGCCGAGATAGTGCCACTGCACTCCAGCCTGGGCAACAAGAGTGAAACTCCGTCTCAAAAAAAAAGAAGAAAAAAACCACTCTTTGTCATCAAGGGGCTGAATTGTGCACGGGGGCATTCTTGCCCCCCAGCCTATCGTGGGGCAGGGGCCATGGTTGGTGCCCTCACTTAACTGAGAGCCAACAGTCCTAGACTGGGCGGGGAAGGTGGAGCTGGGTGGCCGTGTGGGGGAGGGGAGTTAGGGACCAGCAGGGGGTCATTCCAAGGGCTCTCTCAATGAGCCAGTCATGGATGTGGCTTGCCCTGGTCGGCGGTGGAATGGAGAGAGGCTGTGGCAGGAGAGAGTAATGGGCCCGCGCTCAAATGAGTGGAGATTGAAATGGGTTCCCACAGGTAAAGAGAACAGTGCCCGGCACCCAGTAGGGCCTCAAACAGCCTTGCTTTTCTCTCTACCCATCCATCTTGCAGGCATCTGTTTATTTTCATGGCGAGGCTTCATGGGGATGGGAACAAGTCCTCGATGAGTGCCTGCCAGAGCTGGGCAGGTGTGCCCTCTGGGCCCTGGGAAGGCAGCACATGGGTGGGTTCAGTCTGGTGTGGGCTGGGAGCCCCCACCTGCAGCTCATCCAGCAAAGCATGAACTGAGCCTGAGGGCGTTCCCAGCTCTCCCTAGGGACTGACTTCCCCCCACCCCGCCCCCCACAGGATCTGGAAAACCAAGGCAGGAGGAAGAGGGGCCACGGCTGTGTGGGGGTGGGGCATGGTGGGGAGGGCTGGCTGGAGCTGGTCCTGGCTGCCTGCGATGGCACTCGGCAGTCCTGGGCCCCGCGGGTGCCAGCGCCTGTTTATGTGCCTGTGTGTGCCACCCCCGCAGCCCCTCTGTCACACGTGTCTCCCGGCTGCCTGGAGAGCTCTTTCTACAAAATGTGAAAATGACAGTTGGGCTCACCCACGCGCAGAATCCTCATGCAGTCCCACTCCCTCGCTGCCCCTTCCAGGTCACCCTCGGCCCTCACCCTCTCTGCCTGGCTGCTGCCCCCTCCCCCC